CGGCTATGCTTAGGCGATGACGATGAAAAATCGATTTGGGGGTGGGAATGAATGGGAGAGAGAAATGGATTTGGGGATTATTTTTGAAACACCATCTCCCCACGTATTTATCAAAATCTTTTAAGTTAATTTAACTCTTTTTCTCTATTCTTTTTCTATACTTTGTAATTAAATTTGTATTTTCATTTTTCCAAGATTTGTAATTTCAAATTGCAATCTTTTGTATTGAAATTATAAGCATTAATTAAATCTTTTTCGATGGAAGAAAAAAAAATCTATGAAATTCTCTTTGTAAAATTCTCTTGATTCAAATTCTCTTGATTCAAATCCTAATTGATTAAAATTCTCTTTGGAAAATTCGCTAACTTAATTTATCTTGGTCCACCAAAATTAAACTTAAATTCTAATTTAAATCCTAACTTACCCAAAAATAGAACCCTAAATTTAGAAAATCGAAGGATTTAAATTATCAGCTTAGGGGAAAATCCGAAAGCACAAATTAAATCTTAAAATCAAACTAACCCAAGAATGCGGGTCGTTACATTTAGGGTGAAAAAATAATATAAAATAATGGAAATTGACCCATTCCTAAATATTTTTTCTTTTAAAATGAAATAGAAATACAAAAATAATATTTATTTTTAATGGGATTCAAAATTTACTTAGTGAGAATTTCTACCACCTAAATTTTAGGTTTTTATGTGTTGTTAACTTAAATTCTAACAATCCCCTAAAAAATAGTATATTCCATCAAATTAGCTTTAAAGATCTTTAAGTTAATTAATTTTTTTTTATCTATTTTGTCTCTATGTTTTTTAAACGTCACGAAAAACCAACTTTTTTACGACCATTTCGTGACAGTTAGAAAAACGTCATGAAAAGTAAAAAATTCGGAACACTCCGTCATTTCCCGCCAAAAACGCGCCTCAACCTTTCGTGACATTTTTTAAATGTCACGAAAAACCAACTTTTTGACGACCATTTCGTGACGGTTAGAAAAACGTCACAAAAAGTCAAAAATTCGGAACACTCCGTCATTTCCCGCCAAAAACGCGCCTCAACGTTTCGTGACGTTTTTTAATAGTCACGCAAAACCAAATTTTTGACCACCACTTTGTGACAGTTAAAAAACGTCACGAAAGGTCAAATATCCGGAAATCTCTATTTTTTCCCTCCAAAAATACCCTTTTTGCCTATTGTGGCGCATATTTTTATTTTGAACAGTATTTTGCTGTTCATGAGCGTCACGAAAACCCAATTTTCTAGTAGTGTATGTTTAGTACAGTGTAAGTTTTATTATATACGACGTATAAATAAGAAGATACCTCGATTTCATCCTCGTCTCACTGCTTCAGCACGCTTGTAGTGTTCTCCTTCTGTCATTTATTCCTATATTTGGTTGGAACCGTCTTTTTAGGGTCTTTTTTTACAATGATCTGAAAAAAGAAATAAAAAATTACCACATTGTTTCTGTAGATATAAGATTCTACAGAAACAATGTGGTAAATGAATACATCAAGATTTCAAAAGAATGTTTACTGAGAAAGGGAAGTGAGAAAGTTCCTATCCTATCTCACAAAATAAGTGGGAGATGTCAATACAACAAGGGCGGGGTAGATATAAGATTCTATAGAGTAAATGACCATTTTGTCAGTTTGTATCACTACAGTCCATCTACTTGAAAAGTTAAGAACTACCAAAAGGCTCACTATTTATAAACAAGCAGCCAAATTAACAGCTCACTGCGTTATAAGCAAGCAAGCCAAATTAAGAGAGTCATTACATGATTAGACTTGGATATGGAGAATCCTAGAAATCCAAGAAGGGTAGAAGTGACAAAATATGTTATCCTCAAAGATCTAGTATCCAAGTGTCTGGTTGAAGTTCACAAACATGTTATACGGCATCTTTTAAAATAGAAGTTCAGCAAAAATATTTTCTTATCACGAAAACATATTAAATAACTGTTTTCTATAACATATTATTTCTTGTTTTCCTTTAATATATTCTCACCTAAAGACTTAGCTTATAGAATAAATCGCGCTAATCTAAGCACATTATGACCAACATTTTTTTAATAATCCAGAATCATAACTCTAACTTTTTTCCCTATGAATAAAACCGATGGCTGTAATCTTCAGTAAATAAAACCAATGCAAATGTTTCAAATAAATACAAAGCTGAACATATTCCTAGTGATCATGGAAACAAAGAGCTCCTCACTGTTGAACATATTCTGAACATATTCCTCAGTAAATATAACTTCTTTATACAATATAGGCAGTAGATAAATACAAAAAGGTTTCTACCGTTTTATAATCTGTCCTTCTCTCTTTTTTTTTTCTTTTCTTGTAATCCTCTATTATTTCTCTTATTCCTCGCGGCCATGGAAACCCAAGGTGGACATTTTTTGGAAATCCAAGTGTTTCACAATCTAATTTCCCAAAGTGTCGAGGCTTTCGGTCTTGCCCAAAATTCTTCCATGTAGATGTTATTGAAAATTTTTGCAATCTAAACTACACAGTAATCTGATTTTAACAATATTTTTATTATTTATAACTATATTTTTCAATCTAATCTTCCCCAACCCATCATATCTACAAGGTGTCCTACAGAATCTGTTGTGTCAACAAAATCCCTTGAATATCGGAGGTTGGTAACAGATTAAAAAACATACACTTAAACCGTCTATTTTCTAAACCTCATTTATTTAAACAATATTCAAAATCGCTTCACGGATGATTGAGGTCCGAAGGCTTTGAGGTGCAGCATTTGAGTGTTGACGGAAGAAGGAAAGTTTCGGCATTTGCAGCGTTCAACACTCAGCCTAAGGCGTTTGAGATTGAGGTGTAGTGGAAGGAGGACTTGATTTTTCGAAGAAGTGAGGTGCAATGGAAGAATGTAGGGATTGGCGAAGGGATTTTGTTGCAATTTGGGATATGGAGACCCCTAGAAATCCAAGAATGACAGAAGGAATTTATGGATTGCAATTTGTTGCAATTATTCGAAGGAATTTAGGGATTGGGACTTTGATTTTTATGTGAAGACAGTGAGGTTATCCTTTGAATGTCGTTTGTCGTTTGGGATATTCAAGGGATTTTGATTTTAGGAATCTTTCGATTGTCTTTTTCCATAATGGATTATGACAGGGTATTAATTCTCATATTGTGCGATAGAACTACTCCCTCCATATTTTTAAAATAGCACTTTTCAATTTTAATATTATTTTTTATTCATTTTCCACCTTTCTAAATTGATTTTACATTTTTGTTAGTCTATTTTACATTTTGATTCAATCTTTTAACATTTATTGATTTCAAAGTATGTATTCAACCTATTTTATCTTACAAATTTTGAAATTTCTAAATCTATATTTTATTTAAAATTTTTTAACTTTATAATTTTCCTTCACTATCTTGTTTCCTAAAATTTAGGGTAAATTTATCCACATAAAATCTTGTAGTTCAGTTTTAAACTGCTCTTTAGCCATTTTTCGTGATATTATTCTTTTGGCAAATTTTCATATCAAACTATTTAATATAGCTAGTCCTTACCCAACAAAATTGAAATATAAGGATATACAGATATTAACCTCGTGCTGATAAATGCCGTGAACAATCAATCTTTTTCAACACTTCTCAATGGTATGATATTGATCATTTTTAGACATATGTACCAAAATGTACAGGCTTGACATTTACTTATTCTTCAAATCTCTTTTATTTGTAAATAGAATCTCCGAGATATAGGAGTGTACAAATGTTTCGAAGAAACCGAACTGACTAACCTAAACCGAACTAACGTTGTTCGATCCATTTTAAAATCATTTCGATCCATTGTCGGTTTTGTTTATGGAAAACCGACTTGTGGATTGGTCGGCCCCTGAAAAGAATAAGTAAACCGATAGCTTCGTAATTAATCAGTGTTGAAAATCAATCAGCATGCAGAGCGGAAGATGTGTTTTGAGTTTTTTTTTTTTTCCTTTAAATTACTTCTTAATATTTCTGCTTATCTCTCCTCCATGCAGCCATGACAGAAAATTAAAGTCTCCTCGATTAACGTGAGCTAATTAGTTTTTATCATAAGACGTTTTTTTTTTAATTTATTTTTTCTTTTGTTTTCTTCCTTTTATTTCCATATTTTTCTTTATCTTTTCAAATTAGGTTTTCATTTTTCCTTCTCCCTCCTATCCCCAATTGCCGCCGCCCTTGGTCGTTCTCAATCCCAACCGTCCTAGCTCTTGTTGGTAACTAATGACACAAGTAAAAGTTATCTGTTCCCCTTCTCTTCTTTATAGTTCTAACTCTTCTTTCCTTTTACCAGCAAAAAGTGGTTAGGCGACAACATTCAATATTAATTTCATTCCGATTGATTTTCATTACGATTCATTCTCACTAACAGAAGGTAGATAAACGAGACCTAAGTTTTTCTTTTTCTTTTTTTAATAAAAGCCGTGGAGGGACCACAATAACCATTTTTATCTTAACATAGACTCTTAAGCAAGCTCCATTTTTGTCCTCCTCAGCCGCCCTCAACCACAGCCGCCCCACCATCACATTGGCCATCCCTTCCCGCTGCAACCCAGCTCACACACTCGCCCAGTGCAGAACGAAATTGTTTAGAAAATAGTCGGTTCGTTGGTAATCGACTGACCGAACCGACTATTTGGTTGGTCAATGGGAAGCCAACAGAGTCGGTCAATCGGTTTCCATTTTAAAATTTGATCATGTGTTGCTTGACGTCAGATTTTGTTGAAAGACCGACTCGACCGATGTACACTCTTACGTAGATTTATTTCAATTATTGTTTTCTTAAAAAAGAGTTTGTATAATAATACATCAGGCAATTATCAATATTCCCATCCCATCCAATAATTTTATTTCAACAATGTTTTTGAAACAATCAGAGAAATTAATTTGGATTAAAGTCGTATACATAAAAGCAACATTTTCAATTATTCTTAGCAATAAAATTAATTTAGATGAAACCATAGCTCAAGATCAAGAAGAAGGTGCTACTTCCATTGAGCTAGAATTCCCTCCTACTTCATGCTTGCCATGCAATAATCCGTGGCCAACCCCATGCTCTTTCTTCTTCATTACCTCATCGATACAGACTTCATCCTCGATCGTCACCACCACCGCCTGCGGCCCATGGCCACCGCCGCCGCCCGCAGCGGCTTCGTGGATCTTCCTGTGCCCATCAACATGGATCACTTCTGCAACTTCTTGGTGACCACAAGACTTCTTCTTTTTCTTTTTTATGATGAAACAGCAAATTGCAGCTGGGACGAGGGCGAAGAAGAAAAAGCATGCGCCCAGAGAAATGAAAACGATCACGATTACTGCTGGGTGGCCATTTTGAGCAGCCATTTTTGGGTGTCAAGAAAGAATTAAGCTGTCGAAGTTTGGTGTAGATGTGTAGATATATAATAATGTGTATTTATAGAGTTTTATTTGTGGGCTTGAGAATTAGAATTGGGATGAAAGTTTTGAAATGACTTGACTGTTATTCCAAGGGATGGTGGGTTTTTTGGATTTCAAAACACTCCAACTGCCCTCTTTGCTTATCGTCTCTTACAAGTTTTACTGCCATCCCATTCATTTAAACACTTTTTTATGTTTTCCTTAATTTAAACACGTATTATTAACTTAGTCCAATAGTAATTGACACTTGTTCTACAACCACGAGCTGGAATCTTAACCCTACTTATAATACCAAAAGAAAAAATCTTAACTAGTAAAGTGATCTAGACAAAATATAAGAGCTACGTACCAATAATGACGTTAGTCAGTTAAGTTTCCTTTTTCTTTTTAAACTTGAAGATTTGTAAATAGCTACCATCATATATGTATATAGTTGTATGGAAGGACAAGATTATATTTAGTTCTTCCCATTATGTTTGGCACTTTTAATAATTAGTTGGATTGAGGCATGATTTTGTAGCTAGATTCAAGTATTTTTCATGATTTTTTTTTGTTCCTACTTAATTTTACGGCCAGGCGCTTAACATATATTTATATGAACGAATTTTGGACACGACACGATCTACGCATAGTCTAAATGTAGAATTTCCTCACTTTATAGTATGGTAAAAGGGATCTTCTCCCCCAAAAAAAAAAAGAAATAAGAAGGGGGTAAAAAAGATTACATAAAAAGAGCAAATTAATTACTCTAATAGTAGGTAGGGATGAGATGAAGAGGATATTATATTTGAATTTTAGGTAGAAAGTAAGAGAAGACAAGCTCATTCCAAACATCTGGGAGGCCAGGGAGACACCAATGGCCACAATCTTGGATTGCTGGATTGTCCCCCCACGTGCCCACGTGCGCATCGGATCTGTAAGATCCCATTGGAGTGAGATGCATCACTGTAACTGGAACTCTCTTCATCTTCTTCCTCAAAATCTCCATTATTATGTCTGATTTCTCACTCTTGTCCCTCCCCTTTGTCTCCAACAATGGCCTCTCACTCACATCACATTGGTTTGGACCCCTGCCAACAATAATTACATTACATACACATGCAATGCATAAGGTTTTAAAATAATATGCTAGCCTAGACGGGGATTAAATTTTAGGTTAAAATGCTATTTTGATCGTCTTTACCGTATTCTTTCAATTTAAGATCATTTTGCTCTATATATTTTCAACTTTGATTCATTTTAGTGATTGTACTTCTAAAACTTTAACTGTTTTGATCCACAAATTCTACACATGATCAAATTTTTTTTAATATAAAAATATCACGGTTACATTTCAAGAAATATATTGAGTGTAATATCGTATTGAAATTATTGGGATAGAAAAAATGATATTAAAAAATAAAATTAAGGGACTAAAATGGTCATTTTAAAAAAGTACATGATCAAAACAAATATTTTGAAACTGACCAAACTCCTTTTATTTTTTATCTCATTTTTTTAATCACAATTTTGACCTCACATTATATTTAATATATTTCTTGAAATGTAGTTGTAGTTTTATAGTGAAGGTTTTTCGTTGGGTATATAAATTGTGCTAAAAAATATATCAAAACGATAATTTATTAAGAATATAGAGATAGAGACTAATGAATCAAAGTTAAAGGTATAAGAACCAACAAAAATGAACCAAACCTAAAAGTACATTGATCAAAATAGTATTTCAGGTCAGATTTTTAACTATGGACTCAATTGTTGCTAAAGAAAAACGAGTTTTTATCACGTTAAAGACGTGTTCGGAGAGATTTTGACCATTATTCCAAAAGCATTTTTACCGTTTTGCAAAATCACTTCCATTTTAAAATAGTGATGTTTGACAACAGTGTAGAATCACTTTAAAACGATTCCCGATCATTATACGTGTAATTTGATGATTCGAAAATCACTTCGAGTTGTAATGGGGAAAAGAGGTACCTCCAATGAGTGGATTCAATGGTGCGAAAGAAAACTGCAGTTCTATTAGGGTTGATATTGGCTTCAGCCCAATCAGCCCATGTATTGATTGCCATCTTATAACCATCAATCACAGACATTCCAAGCTCCAACGAATCCCCTATTTGGAAGAAGCATCTCCTGTCAATTCACAAACAATTCATAGTCATGTACACATGATATTAAATATTTTGACACATCGACATTTCTATGAAAATATTTTATATTTATGGATTCGACATAAATGATAAAGAAAAAATCGACAAAATACTAACAAAAATGTCACTAATATATACATAATATTAATATTATTCGTTTTTAAGCTATTTAGAAATAGAAAATGTTTTATATGTTAATTTAATTAATTTTATATGATATTTAGTTTATCTGACTTTTATTGAAATATCTATCAACATCGACATTTTATCGATATTTACATGGATATTTCTATGAAATTGAAACCTCAACGTTTCCATCAACAAACGTTCCCTTAAATACATAATGTTCAATGCACGCTTTGAAATGTGAAAAACATAACTTACCAATTAAAAGAACAAGTTTAAAAAAGAATAATTATAAAACCAACAGTTAAGACCTAGGAATAAGAATGAAATAAAAAATTTTATTTTCTTTTGATAGTATTTACCAGATCGTACGAATCAAATCAATGGATCAGATTCATTTTAAAGTTTGTAATCAGTCTCCTTACAATGGTATAATCTTATTCATGTTGTGAAACATCATCAATCTTATTCTCATTTCTTATTCTATACATTCTATCCCCTTTATTCATACTTTCGCATCTATTAATAAGACCGTAACTTTTTAATTAATTATTTTTGTACTTGTATTATTTCTTTTTTATTTATACTACTAATAATTTAAAATTTATAAACTTTTATTAGTTGGGTGACTTCATTGTAAATTTCTACTTAATTTTACTTTGTTATTATTAATAAATATCAATATTTTTTAAAAAATAGAATTCATTATTATTAAACATTAGAAAAATAAAATTTAATAACATTTTATATTGATGATGGTTGTTCTGACAAAGATATTTTTTTTAGTTGACGTTATTTTATTTTAATTATTTATTATTTGTTAATATTAAATAAATTGTTATAATAAAAAAAAACATTTTCTATCAATAAAATAGTAATAAAATAAATAAAAATAAATTATTATTTTAATTAATAAAGGATTATCACGGTTTAAACTATCACCTCACATTTATAAAACTATATCTTTATCTTTACCGTATGAAAAGGTGGGATGATCATTCTTTTTCTACCTATTTATTCTTTATATAATTCTAAATTTTAAAATATATTCTTAATAAGGATAGTTCATGCTTTATTTATACAATTACTTTTATTAAAATTAAAATCAAATTCATATTAAAAAACTAAAATAATTTTGAAACCTCAATCAAAATTTAAAATAAATATACATAGTTTCCGAAGACCTATAAATATTTTTTTAATTTGGCCAAGACTTAAAAAATAGTTTTAAAAATAAAACATCAAGTTCAAAACTTTTCTAGTTATTTTTCCTTTTAATAATAAATAAGTCTTCAAAACCGTATATATTATTTTCAACTTTCAAAACACAACATAAATTAAAAAATATTAATTTATGTTAAGAATGAATTAACTTACATTTCGTTAAAAAGGCGGTTCTCGGTCCACCAATTACCGGAGTTAAAAACCAACACATCGGCGTCGATCCACCGTCCACTGATATCATCCATCTGATCCAATCTAACGGTCATCCTGACGTTGTTGGGTGCACCCGCAGGCACCTGATAACTCTTCCTCATCAGAAACACGGACCTGTAAAAATCGACGCTAATGTTGTGATCCCTAAACCTGACCCCCAAATACCGAATCGTCTTCGTGATGTTGCTCCCGTTCACCTCGTAGACGCTCCCCTTCTCCTCCACCCCTCTCATCAGCATGCAGATCCACGATTCCCACTGAGTCCGGCTCAGTGAGTCCCCCACGAACACCACTCGCTTCCCCCGCAGCCGCTCCAGCGCCGCCCCGGCGTCGAACCGCGGGATCTCGCACTGCTTCGGCTTCCACCGCCACTTTGTGTAGTCCGTGTCCTTCCGGCCGGCGCATCTGAATCCGCGCTCCGCGAACGGGCAGTTCGTCGAGTTGTACAGCGGATACGACTCGTCTTCGATCCAGCGGCCGTGGAACACGTCGCAATCGGAATCGGAGTTCTCTTCCTCCGCCGCGGCGCTGGCGGTTGTGCGATTGTAGATCTGGAGGATTTGGTCGAGGTTTGGGGAGAGGATTGTGTAGATGCAGGCGATCGCGATGAGGAAGGAGAGGAGGGACGGGATTATCCAGGCTTTGCTCAAACACTGCGGGAATTTTGTTCTTGATCTGCCATTGTTGGAGCTTGGAAGGCTCGAATAGGAGGTAGGATTCAAATTGTTACTGTGAAGCATGTTTAATTTTTATTATTCTCCTCTGGTTTCTGGTTTCTGTGTTCATCAAGAGTATAAATATAAGTATCTGAACTGAAGCTTTTGTGTTCTTAAGCTTTAATTTTTAATCTTAATTGAAATAAGAGTTCATTTGTTTTCAGTATTTATTTAGGAGTTTCTTTTTTAGTTCTAACGGGAGTTTGAATCTCCAAATCTTTTGTAAAAGATTTAATTGATTAATTGTGTAAAATTTATTGGATAAACTTAATTAAGTGTATGAAATTTGCTTTTTCTCCTCTGGTTTCTGATTTCCGTGTTCATCAAGAGCATAGATATAAGTATCTGAACTAAAACTTTTGTGTTCTTTGGCTTTAATTTTTACTCAATTAAAATAGGAGTTAATTTGTTTTCAGTATTTATTTAGGAGTGTCTTTTTTTTTTTTTAAGTAAATCTTTTCAAAAAGATTTAACTGATTAATTGTGTAAAATTTACTGGATAAACACAATTAATAAATAAAACTGCTGCGTTGTTACATTTTAAGTTTTGAATTTACTCATAATTAAAATAGGAGTTCTTTTTAGTGTAGGAGATTAGGTTCAGGTTTTAATTGTTTATTTAATTGATGAGAAACTAAAATTTCATTTATTAATTGTGAAAAACCAATCAACATGTGGAGTCTACGATTGAATTGAATTAACAACTTTTTGGTCGAAGGTATATACTTAATCCAACCACGCCACAAAGGAATCAGAAATTAGAAACAATAATGTTAAAAATTGAACTTTTTCTTTATGTTATTAGAGTCAAATAACAACTTTAGTCTAATTTGGTTTCGTTTCAAATTGGGCCTTATGATTTTAAAAGTTATATGGTGGTCTCGATAGTTTGATTAAATCTCTCGAGGCACCATAAAATTTATTAAAATGTTAAAAGTTTTCTTGCGTGAGTTTTCTTTGAATTCTATCTATAATCGTGGTAAAAAAATTTTGTAAAGTCAAGCGATTTGGCTCTATTCAAGAAATTAGTTGAGGTGGGTACAAGTTGGTTGGTGCACTTATAGATATTTAAAAAAAAAAATAAGAATTGTGGTTCAGAAAATTTATCATTTGAGAAAATATATCAGTGGAGTTAACTCTATCCACTTTTGTTAAAATCATGGATTTTTGGGGAGATTTAACCAAATTATATGGATCAAGTTAAAATTTTTATGCAACAAAAATTATAATAGAAACTAAAATGGTAATTTAATTTTAGGAAAACTAACTTTTTGTTAAACATTTCTAATTTTTTATTGTATTTTTTTTCTTTTGGCTAAAAATACAATAGGAATATGTAAGAAAATTACTTTATTAAATTCCCCACCATATATCAAATTCACTTACTTGTTAGAGTAGTTTTTTGCTATCACTAACTTATACTTCACATTATACCCCTCAAAATGGGGAAAGAGAAGTGTACTGGACCTTTTTAAGCCTCGGGCTCATTTGATAACGTTGTCATTTTTTATTTTTTGTTTCTCGTTTTCGGATTTTAAAAAATATAAGCATTTTATTAACTATTTTTGCTTTTCGTTTCTCATTTTTAAGAAACTTGGGCATAAATTTAGTTGAAAATAATTACCAAAGATCACAATAAGCATTTTATCAACGTGGAATAAAATACTGGTGTGATGTTAGCTACATATGTTCAGATGCTTACGTTAAGTTTTGTGTGAAGCTTAGCTAAACATGGGGTTTATTGGCGTATCTATTATGAATATGGAGAAAATATAAGGATACTAAGATATGTTCTTCTCAGTAAAACTCTATTTATTAAAGCTTTGAAAACGACAAACAACTCATGGATCACCTAGAACTAGAAAGCGACAAATAAACCACGACTAGAGATTCACAAACATCAACAGCTAACTCGAAGATGAGCATCAGGTTACGAAAAATCTACTGAAATCTACTAAAAGCCTTTCGTGGCACCGACTCTCTTAAAAAAAGAAAAAAAAATGATAATATCATTTTTTTAATCAACTTCATACCTATCGTATGTTTTATAATTTATTGAATGAACACGATAATACTTTTTTTTTTTTAAGATTCCTTAAACAAAAATTTATAAGAAGGTAAAGATTGCGCCATCTTTCAAATTTAAACTAAAGATGCCAACGTTTATCTAAATTTAAAGTGTAGTTTGATGTAATTCATCTTACTACTTCAGGTAAAAATTATTTTTTTTAAAAAAATAATAATAATAAGCCCATGGAATTGAACAAATATTTACCGTTCAACTCTATGGATTTAGGTTTAGGAAGCCCAAAAATGCTGAGAACCCTTCCTTTAAACACTCCATTGTCCCTAGTTTTTTGTTTTCTATCATAAAATAATAAGATTTCGATCTATCATTATTAAAAAAAAAAGTTTCTTCACTAAAATTTTTATCATTTTCATTTACCCACGGAAGAGGAATGAGAAAAAAAAAACAAATACTTTTACTCATTTTCATGCTCTAAAATCTACCTGCAAACGACAATTAACTAGACTAAAATAAGAGCAAACTCGAGTATTGCTCAGTTGGTAAAAATTTGTGGGTTGAAATATACATCCCCACTTGTGTTGCTGTACTAAAAAAACAGGACTAAAATAAGGATGTTTTTGCAGAACCCTATCCTGACTTTTCATTGGTTCTGAAAAGTTGTTTTGAGCCAATTCCTCGATCTTGTTTTTGAAGCTCAATCCTCCTCAAAAGGAGGAAAATTGATACACTCTATACACAACCTAAAAGAAGAAAAAAAAACAAAAAATTGATAGAAGAGAGAATATGGAAACCACCTTTTTAGAACTCAATGTTTTTGTTTTCATTTTAGTAAATTTTTTGGCAATAACCCAGTGATAAAAGATTTCTTGGATCAATAAGCAAACTTATTTTCTCGAATTGTTAGTTGGTCTTCACTGCCTCCTAAGTAAATAGGTCGTCTTTCTTCTTTAAGGGAGCTATTCCAACCCTTAATAATGATTGACATAAAATAAAAAAAGATTTAAAATAGACCAAGATCCAATATTGGGTCATTTCTCGATGAACATGATCCGCCAATAAGATTATCATTAGTATTATTTTTTTACTACTCTACGACTTAAAGAGAAAGCCCTTTCAACAATGTCTAGAACCAAACTCATAGCAACAAATTTTTATTAAAATTCAAACATAATTAATGACATGGCACCTATAATAATACCCAAGCCAAAACATTCAACACATTACAATCGCAAACAATGTTGTGGAAACTTTTTGTAAGACACAATTATAGAAATAATTAAAGTGTGCTCCATAAGACACAAACTTGGTTGAGTAGAAGCACATGGATCTAGTCTTCGATTTCAAAGGAAGTCTCTAATTCCTTTTCAAAGTTGTAATCGGTAGTATCAACCACGCTTTGCTTTTGATTTCATCCAAAAGGCCCCATACCAATGAAGATAATTGTCCTCCCTTATATACCCATGATTATTCCTTCCCCTAGCCAATGTGGGACTTTGTTTGAAATCACCTTACAAACCCAACAGTTTTAGTCTCTAGATTTTCAATTTATTCTCTTATATTTTACTAGTTTTCAATTATACCTTTTCTATTTGTGAATGTTAGAAATGGTTCATGATAAACTTGCATTACATAATGCTTAGTGTACCGCCTAAGCATATATTATATTGTTTTGGTTTTGATCACGATATTAAATTGATGTTAACATATGATCTTCCACGATATTTCTATAGATTCGATATCGACATAAGAGATGAATTGACATCGACATTTAAAATCTTGGTTTGGATAAAAACCGAAAAATATAACTTACATTATTGGTAGGACTTCTTTCCAAGTTGTAGAATGCCCTTTTGTCCTCCCTTATGAGAGGGCCCATGTGCCAAGTCCCTTTATGCATCATAACAAACTTTGGACCTGTAATTTTGAAGGCACAAACTTCTTCAACTGCAGGAGCCACAAAGTAATGACCACAGGCAGATCTCACAGCTTTCTCATGGCTAACTCCATTCTCACTTTTGACAACAGAGGGTTTTGCAACTCCAAGATACCATACTTTGCTATCCGATGACCCGAGGCATTGTGTCATCCCCGCATGATGCGTAAGCTCCCCGAATTTAAGAGGTGATCCCTCGACGTTTATAAGAGAAAACCTGTTCGTCGAGATCGATCTCGTTAGACTATGCGTTTTTTTGAATTGGGTCGATTCAATTTCGAGAGTAGAATACTGAGTAGGTAGGGGCAAAATCATACCTTCTAACATTTTTTCTTTTGTATATAATGGAAAACTTTAATATCTTGATTTTTCTACGTAACGTTTTTTAATATTAGACTACAAGGAAGGAAAAGCCCTCCAGCTCCTTCCTTCTTGGCTCGCTTTTGTTCATGTGAAAATAGATCGATCGAGAGTGAAGAAGTTTTTATCTCGGGATTTCGTTGTTGAAGTCCAATTTAGCGTCTTGTGGTTGGAATTTTTTGTTGGAATTCACAGGCTCAATCACTTGGCCATATTCTGCAAAGTTCTCTGGAGTAGCTTCAATGGCCTTCAGCTTCAATGTCACTTTTTCCATTTTCCTTCTCTTGGAATTTTACAAAAGCTTAATAATGAAAGTGGTCAATTTCCTTAACAATAACAACTACATGACAAAGAAAAGTAAACAAAAAACTCACTTCTTCAAGCCAAAGACTATCACCAACTCTATGAAAGGTTCACTTACAATAAATTTTCCTCAGTGAGCATATAAATAATAAGGATATGAAGAAGAGATAGAGTGGCAGCAAATAATTGAGGGAAAATGGCCACATAACCAAACCAAAAGAGCAATAATACATGGTTGCTCACATGATGGCAGCTTTTTCTTTTTCTTTTTTTCTTTTTACGATCCATAACACTTCAGTGTTCATCCATCGCTAGATATTCTCCTACTGAAAAAAAATCTGTCTTATCTCTTTTATTCATCTTTATCGATTGTCCATTTTTAAAGGTGGCCTAATGAAC